GCCAGTGGGATTGGAAAAGTTCTTAGAACTTGGGTGTCGTTTCACAGGAGGTGGAGGTGAAGCCTTTAGTTTTGGGTGTTACAGGAACAAGGGCAGTAAGGAAATGAAAGCAGCTGCATAAATCAGTTCTATAGAAGCAGTGTGGGAATGTTAAAACCTACTTTGGTAACAGCCCGGATGGGTACATGAAAATAAATTATAGCAAATCAGTGGAGCTTAGCATAAGTTCTTTAAAATACCACCTGGAATAGTTTTCTTCCCGTGGAAAAGTCTTTATTCCTAGTTTCGGTCAGAGTGGTATTTAGGGCTCACAAATGTTCCTGGAGTTTCCACTCCTAGACATTTGACCCTCTTGATGCACTGTGTCTATCTAAAGAGTCCACACCTGCATCGGCAAGGAGGACTGGAGAGTTTTTATTCAAATTCTCTAGATACAAACTTCCATTCAGATCCATTGTTGAGAAAACAGAGATGAGTGTTCCCAGAGCACAAGCACACGCAAATTCATCAATAGGAATCAATTTATCCTTTAGAATCGGGAAAGGAGTTGGCACTGCTGGGCTATGATTATGTATATGTAGCCAAATGTGTCTGCCACACTGTCTCCTAGTCCCCTTTTCTTGGGAGAATTTGATCCACAGTAGACTCAATGTTGCTGTTGCTTTCATTTGTTTTTGAGAATTGCTTTTCCCATCAAATCAAACTCATATATTCTAAAATTGATTTAATACTTAAGGTGCTGGTGACCCTCCACCAAATCATTTTTAGTTATGCTAAATATGCATGTGATATTTGAAACACATCCTTATTTTAATGACTTTTTGAGGTATATTTTCTTGATTTTACATTCTTTGCAGAGGCTAAAGAGGGGCTTGTGACATAAAGAAAGGGAATGAAAGAAAGAACAAAGCAGAACAACTTCAGAAAAGAAGTTACATTTTGAGTTATGAAACTGGACAACAGAACAATGCAATCAGTAGGCACACATATCTGAATTATAGTCCCTCATGACACCCTGTGTAGGCCCCCTGTCACTCAGAAGAGTCAGAATAGAAATACTGAATGGGTGTGTGTGGTGATGGAGAGCCTGTGTGCTTGTTCCAGATTCTGACTGTCAGCAAGGCAAGAATGAGGTCCCCAGCCAGCCAGCTGTAATACAGTGTGCTCAGTCTGTGTGTGTTAACTCTCAGCCCCTGCCCCTACCTGTTCCCTCGTCCCATTCTCTTGGCTCTAGCTGCCTCCCTGGCGGGGAGAGAGATACCATCTCAGAACCACTAGTGTTGCTTGCTGCACATCTATTAGAGGCACACTGTGTGTGTGGCTCTGCTTCTGATCTGGGAAGATGAGGGCCCAGGGAACCACCAGAGGCGAACAGTCTCCAAGCTCATCAAGCCCAGAAAGATTTTCATTAATAATCAGAAAATAATACCCATCACTCAAGACATCACGAACTCAAAATAAAGATGGAGCATTTTAAGCAGGAATAGTGAAATTCCTTAACTTACTTTTAGGATTGCAGTGAAGTCATTTCATCATACCATGGCTACCCACAACCCCTTTCATCTCCTGCCTCTTGCCTGTTAGCCCCCACAGGGGGAGTCCCAAGTTCTCCCACCAGGAACCAAGGCCATGCTGTACCAGGTTCCATCCTACTTCCTATATTTTGGGATCAGACTTTAAAGAGACCCATCACTTAAAATGTAACAAATTATTGTTCAAAGTACTTTACCAAGAATTCTGAAGTATTTCTTCTGTCATTGATTAAAGTTTATGAGGATTACTGACATCTCAAATTTGTTCCGATTGGGTGGGTTCTATTCTGTGTGAACACTGACACATGCCACTTCAGGATGAACAGACTAGGAAAGACCTATATGTAGCCTGAATTGTGAAATAAAACTCAAGCCTCTTCCTTATACATTAAGAGAATAACATTGGCCATTAAAAAAAAAAAAGAGCCTGAAGTCAGTTGCTGAGAGATGTTTCAGGCTCTGTACGCATGTGGGTTTTTCTGTCCTTTTATACAAGGGCTTCCCAGAAAGCACTACATTCAAATCAAGTCCCAGTACACTGGAAAAACATGTGTTAATATTCAGATCATCATTTTATGGGAATTCTGTCATTTGAGTAGATTTCCTGCTCTGAATGAATACCCATTTAAACTCAATGTAGCAAATCAAATCTAAGAGCAATACATTGCGACTAGAGTTATAAAAATTATTACCAACAGTTGGCTTCTGCCTTTGTTCTTATATCTGTATGTACTCTAGACAAAGACAGTGCTATTGTATTGTATGTTTGATAAGGTTAAGATTGTAGTCAGCACTAAGAATTAGGATTTCTAAAGATTGTTTTTATTGTAATTGTCAACTCACCACTGTCCATCCTGGATGGTGCCGCAGTGCCAGGTCTCCGATAAATGTCCTTAGAGAGGGGTCCTGATCTCTGGTCCTGATGGGGAGCCTTCTGCACATGGAGTGATGCTTCTGACATGACTTGCTTCAGATTTGATTAAATGCAAATCCTTTGGTGTATGTTTCTCTCCAATTTGCATCTCCAATGCAGATTATATATGAAGGTACTTTTTCCCTCGCTAAGGATTTTTATTCAGTAACAATGAGTTTCCATTAGGAAACAACACTCTTAAATGTTTGTTATGGAAACAATGCAGCTATTATTTGCTTCATGAATAGCAGTGGTGTTTTCCCATCCCTTTAATTAGGGTTTGGCTTTTGAAAATAATGTGTTGTATGTAAAGATCTATATTGTCCAGTTGGTACTGTATTTGTATTACTTAGTCTGCTAAAGTTTTTAAAAAGTTGGACACTTTTTGGACATAGTTAAAATCTTAGGAAGATATTTTCATTTGCAAAAAAAAACTCAATTTCAATACATGTAGAAAATCTTTTTATTTATAAACAAATGTGTGTGCTATTGCGGAGATTCATATACCAATATTTGTAAACTGCTTAAAACATCTTTCTGCAGTTGTCCTCCTAGTGTGGTTCAAAGTAGCACACAGAGACCCTCCTCTAATCATTGACAAAGAATCTTTCTGGTAGACTGTGCTATGTATTCCTGTTCAGAAAAATTCCAGGAGAACAGAAATTAGGTATTTCATCATTTTCCTCACTCATCGTTAACTACCTACAGTTGCTGCTTAATCTAGTTTTGATTTTTGTCTCCTATTCCGAACAAGGTTAGAACTAGACACCTTCTAGAACATTTTCCTAGTCATTCTAGATCTGTACAAGTGATGTTTCATAGATTCTCACGGCACCATCCAGTGCTTCTCAAGAATTGGTGTGAGATCAAAGGAGTCTAAAACAGTATGTTCTGGAGAGACCCCAGGGGCTCTGGGGTCAAAGGGGTCTAAAACAGTATGTTCTGGAGAGACCCCAGTCCCAATATATCTTCATAATAAAAGCATACAGTGATTGACTCGTCACTCTCTCAGTTTCTTGTGGGTGAATACAAGAGCTTTCTAGATGTATGATAGCAAAGACCGGAGAAGCGGACACGGAAGTAGAGCTGCTTTTTATCAAGTTGGATGATAAAGTAATTAACCAAACTGCAAAAACAGTTACATTTTTCTTACTGAAAAAAATGTTGGGAGTAGTGGGAGAAAATACATTTTTTTAAAAAAGACTCCTAATATGTAATGCTTTGTTACTGTTAATTTAAATGAAACAAGTCAGCAGTTCTTAGTTTTCCTTTTAGTACTTTAAGTCTATGTGGAAATATAGAAATGGTATTTAAGACTACCCATAGGGTCATAGATAATTTGTAAGAGAGTTAAGGGGGTGCCAAGAACATGAGATTTTAGATCTGTTCCACTGGATGGACTACTGTAGATTAAAAGAACTGCTGGAATTGTCTGATGCACAAATTTGCCAATCTATCCCTGTGCTCATTTTTTCTGGTGGAATAGCACCACTTGTGATTTCTGGATGTCTAGGAGAAAACCAGAAAGGCAAAACTTGTTTCAAGTTCTCTATTTCTGACTCCTGCCTCATGACTGCAAGGCCCCTGGTGATGTACATCGTTCCCCAAACAGCGATGTCAGCAGTCATCCCAACTCAGCTGTGTTCTTCTCCCAGACACGCTATTATGAACTTCTTTGGTGGGCTATTCATTGTTTCTATCATAAACTCCAGCAAGCTTGTAGATTCCTTAAAACATCGTACTATTAAAAAGCCTGAAATAACTAAAAAATTCCAGGTAGAATATAGCGATCTCACATGGTTATGAGTTACTACTGCTGACAGAATGACAACCACCAACCTTCTTAGCCTGTCGTCAAGGCCGTCTGGGATCCAGCTCTATCCTACCTTGTCTGCCATTGCTTTCCTCTAAGCATCATAGTTTCTCATATGGATCTTGGACCACTTTCCCCAGAACCACTTGGAATGCTTATAAAGTTCTGTCCATGCCAGACTTTCCCAGTCTAAGTATCAGGTAGCCATGCCAGGTCATTTACATGGTAAAGAGTCCCTCCCATGTGTTCTTAAATCCTAAGAGCTGATGGCATCTACAGTAGCTATAAATAATCACTCAAGTATTTTTCTACTTATTTATTTTTGTAGGTTCTATTGTATCCTATGGTCCCAGTCCTGCTAGGTAGCTGAAGGAAGATGACCTTAAACTCCTGGTGCTTCTGCGTCCATGTTCCCAGGGATGGGATTACAGGTGTATGTTAGGAGAAGGCTTGTGAAGTGCTGGGGACCATACCCAGGGCTTTGTATGTGGTTGGTAAGCACTCTACCAACAGATGAAGCTTCAGCCGTGTTCAGTGTTGCTCAAGGGAGCTGCAGCCTTTTGTATCCTGTCTTTGTTTCTACCAGTCTCAAACCTGTGCCGGTAAAAATTCTACAGATCTTTTAGATTCAGCCACAGATATACTTTGTTCTCTCAAGGCTTACTTATGGATGTACCAAGATGATTTTACTGACATGAGAGCTGTACAAATGCCGTCTTTCCTTGTGTGTGGTTTATAATACCGCCCTTTCCCCTTTCTTCTCCCCCTTCACCTCCCTCCCACTTCTCCTCCACAGTCCTATAACACAGATAACCAAAAATTAATTCAAAATCAAATGTATAATGAACCAGAGGTGCTTCTGGGGGCCTTGCCTGTGTTTTATGGTGCAACCTCACTGCAGCCTTGGTCCTGAACACGGGACATGAATGCCTTTCACTGTAATGGATTTCATACCATGCAGCACCAATGAGGGCTGTCTGAAACACTTCAGTTCATATTCCGGATTACTGTATATTATTAAACAGTGGGTTTTTTTTTTTTTTTGCTGTACACACATAGATTCTGCTCTCACACATAGGCCTGGCCAGCATATTCAGGGAGCTCCTTGTTCCCCAGGCCTTCCTTCTGGGACTACACCCAAAGCTGTTTTCTTATATTCCTGGGTGTGTGGTTTTCCACTGGAAGTTTATTTTCACTTATGTATATGTGTGTGTGTGTGTGTGTGTGTGTGTGTGTGTGTGTGTGTGTGTGTGTGACTATGACAGGTGCATATGGGTACTCATAGAGGCCAGATACAGGTATCAGATCCCTTTGGATTCTGTGAATTACTCTGTGTGGGTTCTGGGATCTGAACTGACTTGGGTACTTTCTTAACCCCTGAGCCATCTCTCTAGCCCTGACACGATAATTTTAATGACAAATTTTATCATAATGTACTATTTTGGGGGGGTTTTGTGACAGGGTTTCTCTGTGTAGCTTTGGAGCCTATCCTGGCACTTGCTCTGGAGACCCGGCTGGCCTCGAACTCAGAGAGATCTGCCTGCCTCTGGCTCCCAAGTGCTGTGATTAAAGGTGTGCACCACCAACGCCTGGCATAATGTACTCTTTTAAAAAGACGTTTTGATTGATATTTAGACAACTTACACAGTATTTACAAGGGGACATAACTAGGGTGACCCTCTCTGTCCAGGTTTGCTTGGGACAATCCCCATTTGTATTTATCATGACTTGCCATCTGGTAAGTGACCCCCTCTCACTCTCAGAAGAGTCTCAGTTTGGAAAGTCACATTGTCAGCCATCTGAGGTGGCAGGTCAGCAGTGACACAAGCAGGGATGTCACATCTGAACTGCTGCTTGGATAACAGCGGTTATGGCATGACTCTATCTTGGGACTATAGAAACATGAACTCATATGTGGCTTAGAGTTCACAGAACATGAAAATTTTCCTTAGATTCATTTGTCCAAATGTTGATTTTCCCAACTCACATCTCCAATAAGAAATACAAAGTCATTTCCATAGATCACTCTTTGTTGGGCCTGAATGTGAAAGCCAAGTATCATTTCTGGTTCTGTTTTGGGAAGTTCTGGAAAGTTCAGGAGTTTGGGTTTTGCTAGAGGATGTACATCACAGCAGGGTGTATCCATGGAAGAAATCTTGACCATATTTCCTCTGTCTTCCTTCATCTCCTTCCTGACAAGTGTACAAGAAATGCTCTACTCTGTCATGCCCACCTCTAAGACCATGAGCTGCAACAAGCCCTTCCTCCCTTAAGCATTTCTGTTAGCCATTAGTCATGCTGATGCAAAAGTTACTACACTGAGTGTGAGCAGAAAAATAACACAATCCTCATCTCTATGGGCTGATGGCTTAGTGGAGAATATGGAACTGAAGGAAGGACAAGAATCCAGTGAGGGCAATGTCACTTGAAGGTTATTGTCCTTGTCTCTAGGCATTTAAACTCTAGGGAAGCATTTATCATTTAAAAATTTATGTTTTTCTTTTCCTTAAACACCAAAACTTCTTCTCTCCTAAAGGTTCAGTGTCCTAGTTTAATTTTCATTGCTGTGAAAAATATCTTGACAAAGAGTAACGTAGGGGAGAAAGCATTTGAATTGACAATTCCAGACTCCAATCTATCATTATGGGGGAGTCACGGTGGTGGGAACTTGAAGCAGCTGTCCCATCCAATCCACATCAAGAGCAGAAGGAATGAATGCATGCTTGGGGCTCACAAGCTTTCTCTGCTCTCATGCAGTGGAGGGCCTCAAGTCAGGGAATGTTGTTGCCCACTGTGGGCTGGGTCTTCCCACATCAGGTCAGGGAATGTTGTTGCCCACTGTGGGCTGGGTCCTCCCACATCAGGTCAGGGAATGGTGTTGCCCACTGTGGGCTGGGTCTTCCCACATCAGGTCAGGGAATGGTGTTGTCCACTGTGGGCTGGGTCTTCCCACATCAGGTCAGGGAATGGTGTTGTCCACTGTGGGCTGGGTCTTCCCACATCAGGTCAGGAAATGGTGTTGTCCACTGTGGGCTGGGTCTTCTCACTTCAGGGAAAGCATTCAAGGCAATTCTTCATAGATCCACTGATTGGCCAACCTGACCTAGACTCTTTCAGGTGACTGGTTCTAGAGTGTGCCACGCTCACAGCTAACCAACATTTTCAGAAAGGGAAACATTTCCCTTTCCATCTTTTCTCTTTCCCCTCTTCTCCCTCCCCTCACTTCTTTCTATGACCAGCTTTTTTCTTCTCTCTCCCTTTCCTCCTCTTTCATCTTCTAATCACTGGTATAGTGGAGAAAAAGAGTTCTATATGGTAATTCTAAGAAGAGTGTAGTCCCTGTAATGATTATATTTGACTTTCATCTTGACTGCATCTGGGATTAACCAAAACTCAAGTGGCATCCCTCACCAGATTTCAGCCTGCTTTCTCCTTGAGTTGTGGGTTCCCTTCACTTTCCATTGTAAATATTTCCATTCAGTACACTTTAGTCACCCCACCCCACCCCCAGCTCTGACTTTCACTCCCCAAATGGAATCCTAAATGACTGTCATGGCCCAGGCTCATAAATTAAGACTAGGCCTTGACTCGGCATCCAAATCCTCCCTGGTAGCACAGTAACCTCCAGGGGAGCCAGACTGCCTGGTGGCCTGTATTGTCCCCTCCTTACCACCAATTTGCTCTCTGTGTAAGCCCAACCCATGTTCATAGCATTCTTCACTGTTACAGCTTCTTCTTGTACCGCCTAAGAGTCCATCCTTCCAATCCCATCTCATATAGCACTGAGTCCTCCCTGAAGAGCTCTCTGTTAAACCTGGATTGAGAGCACCCCCCCCCATTTAATCTCTACAGGTCTTTCAGCTGTATCTGGCTTTCTTCTCTGAACTGTACTCATTTACTCTCGGGCTTCCCACAGATCATGAATTCTAAGGATGAGCATATGTGGAATGCAGAAGGCGCTCAAATATTTAATGCTAGAAAATTCTCTAAATGGCAATGAAGGAAGAAAAAGAAAGAAAAGAAGGGGTCTCTGAAGGATTGTGCTCAGAAAAATAAAAACCAGGCAACTGACTGCCTCTCTGATCCACAGCTTGAGAGGGGCTTTGTTGTAAGCACTGTAACCCAGGTCTTCTTTGTTATGGCACCTTAACCTTTCCCAGCGGCACAAACAGGTAGATGATCCTTCAGCATAGACACAGTAGAGCTCATTTGTTCCTTCATCTCTAGGGGCCCAGTCAGCTGTGTATAACAAGTAAATGAAGACCTAGTGGCCATGATAGCCTGAGTAAGTTTAGGGAGCTCTTCAGCTGTCTGAGCTGTTTGTTACTGAGAGAGAGAGACAGACAGAGAGAGAGAGAGAGAGAGAGAGTCTGGTAGCTGTGTGGCAGAGACCTGTCATGGAACTAAGAGAGTCCTAGCATGAGAGATAAGGCCCCTGGGAGAAGCTAAGCTTCCAGTTCACTTGGAAGAGCAGGTGAAGAAGTCACACTCTACTCAAGGCTAGTGTGACCTTGAAAGAGAAATGCAAAGCTGAGTAAAAGAAACAGTGTGTCTTGTGTCTTCTGGGTGTCTTCCGGGCAGTGGGGAAATGAACAAGAAGGAGAGAGAGTAAAGTGTCACATCACCCCAGATAAGAGCAAGAATTAAGCCTTTCTCTGCCTTTGCCTACAAACTGGGCTTCCTGGGGCCTAGGACATCCGCAGAACAGATGTAACAAAGCTCAGGGACAAATAGAACCGTCTGAAGATTCATTCATGGAAAACTATGGAGTGCTGGCTCCTGTACCTTTAGGTTTCTAGGCCAAGTGGGCCTTCTCAGGCAGCTTTTTGTTTTTTGGGCCTTGGACACTAGTACAAATCCATCCTAAACTGTCCCAGATAGGCTTTACCAGTTAACAGCTTCATCAGTACCTGACACCAAGCCAGGAATATTACTTAGAGTTCCAGAAACTGGATTATTTCCCTGTATTCAATTCCCTCAGACTGCATCTGCCAGCTCTCCTTCTTTAATACAACGCTTCCTGCTCACATGCCTGACCCAGATCACCATTCTTCGGGAGGCCTTGGGATCCATTGACACACCTTCCAACCTTCCTGAAGGGATGCTTAGAGTTCCAGCCCTCACTTATGCTAGCTCTGGCCCCCTCAGGCTGCTCCTTAAAAATGTGTCTGCCAGCGCTTGAAAGCACAGGAAGCTGGGCCCTTCCTTCCCTAGAACATTCTGTGTTTTTGCATAAGCTCTGTGGAAAGCTGTACCTGGAGAGAATGAACTTTATCTGGCTTGTCTTGGAGCCCTGCTCCAGTTTGTCCCTTGCCTGCTCTGTGTCGCCAGTCTCTGGGATGACTTTCCTGTAGGTGTTAAATAGGGTCCACAGATGTTCAGGATGGTTCTAAGCTTCAAGGGATATTTGGGGAAATATTACAGCAGAGAATAAATATCAGGGTGTGGGGTTTAGATAGCCTGAATTCTTTCTATCCATCATCTCTCTCTCTACCTATCTTGCTTTTGTGCCTAACATCTTGGGCAAAATTACAGTCCTTCAACAGGCTGGCATTTTTCATAGGCAGCATCTAGTGATATGCAGCTATCAGCCACAGGGAATGAAAAAAGAAATCCCTGGGCAGTGGGTAGGCTTTGGTTTTTGTTCCCTTTTCCTGCCGGGGAAGATCTGTTTCCCCTGCCTGATTCACCCCGGGATGTACTTCCAGATATAGCCACGTGGTGGCGCATCAACTCTATACGTAACTCACTGGAGGACTTGTCTGAGATCTGGGTTAGCACCAAGAGCTTTTGGGTAACTGGAGAATGAGGGTGTGGACTCTTTTCTTCCTTCAAATTCAGAAAATCAGCCTGAATGGTCCTTCATGAGTGGCTGCAGAAAAGGCGGCCATTTTCGCAAGGTCCTCAGCCAAGTCCTTTAATCCGTTTCCCACCTTTTCCTCTACTGTAAGATGGGAGAAAATTGGTGACCAGACGGCTGTTGAGCTGCAATAATACAACTAGCCTTTTTTTTTTTTTTGTAGCTCACTCCAAGTTGCAAAGTAGATTGAACCAAGCATACTCCAGCACCCGAGAGGCTCTGCCTTATCTTGGTGACCCTCACAAGAGAACATCCAGCCTTTTCTCCAAGAAGGAACTCTGGCATGCTGTACCTTCTTGCTTTCGGGTCAGGGACGTCCCTGCATTTGACAAGCAATCTGTCATGAGAATGGCAGCCTGTTCTCTGGGGTTGAACTTCTTCCAACTGACTGTATCCCCAGAGGCAGAAGCTCGGCATGATAACACTCAAGGCTGGTGGCTCCAGTTCCTCAGCTCCCATCGTTCATCCTGCTCTTGGCCCTTCCTCTGCCTGTAACCATTGTGCATCTAACTGGCAGTTTGTTTTGTTGTTGTTTTGTTTTGTTTTGTTTTCTTAAGTTAAAAAAGGGACTCCTGCTTTGTTACATACACAATCTTTGAGATCAGTTGGTTTGAAAGGATCCAATGGCTTCCTCTGACTCGGCACTGTACTTGGAGGTTTTGTATGTGGTGAGATATTGCTCAGGAATGCATCTGCACTTACAGCCATCTAAAGGGAGGGCCTGGCTTGTCTCTGTGTGTCTCTGCGTCTTATAGCAGTGACGACAAATTCATCACTTCTCAGAGTGAGTATTAAGGCTGTAGAAGTGAGAAGAGAACTACAGACTGCTGAATTCAAGAGTCTTCTATTGTGCATCACATCAGAACATGACCTTCATGTCACCTCAGTGGTCCACTTTGACCCCACACGGGGGCTGACCTGTACTCTCCTGAGAGTAAATGTTGATGGGGGGAGTGCTTCTGTGTATGTTCATCTTATTGATTATTGAATAAAGTGCTTGTTTGGCCAATGAGGCAGCAAGTTAGACGGGACTAGGAGTCAAAGAGGATTCTGGGAAATGTAGTAGAGAAATGTTTTTCCTCCCAGGAAGTGACATAGCAAGGAGACTCATATTTAAGCAAGGAGAAACAGAAGTGTCCTTTTCCCCCTGGCCTCCTCCAGCAGCAGGATGTGAGCCACTGGCAAGAGAGGGCACAAGCGAAAGGCATCCTCTATAAGATAAGTCTTATAAAATATATAGATTTATGATAATTAAGACTGAGCTAACAGATGAGAAATCCTAGTCATTGGCCAAGCAGCATTTGAACCTAATACAAGTTTCTGTGTATTAATTTGGGCCCTAACTTGGGCAGGTGGCTGGCGTAAAGCACACACGTGGAGGTGGGGCTCGACGGCTTTTGGCGGAAAGATTTATCGTAACAAGCTGTCTTCCCTTTTTAGATTTGTTCTTTGGGGACCTCAGGTTGTCCTTCCTTTAGTGACTTGCTGACTCACTGTGGTGTGCACAATGGCTAGGGAGTAAGAGGAACAGTCCTCCATGGGCTCAGGAATTCTGCTTATGCTCCCACCCCCATTGGCCTGGGAGGATTCTGAAGCCTTGGAAATAATGTTTCTTGCCACTAAATGGCTGTGAGCTTTCTTCAGCTGGGGCAATAGTCCTTCCTTAGTGACATACAAGGGAATTGGGCTATTGAGGTAGAAATGAGGTGAGGGGAAGCACACTTTTTAATCCCAGCACTTGGTGGCAGAGGCAGGAAGATCTCTGTGGGATTGAAAACATCCTGGTCTACATAATGAGTTCCATCCAGGGCTACATAGTGAGTCCTTGTCTAAAGAATAAAGAAAGACAATAAATTCTGTAAAAGACAAATGTGCACTTACTCATTTCTGATCAGTAAACTTGCACTTTGAGTTTGGTGGTGAAAATGTTTGATTCTTTAGTTTATTTTTAAGTGTTAGCATCTTTCTGCCGAAGCTTGCTGAAGAACGTTGTTGGGTGGTTTCTATCCTAATATCTCACCGTGGACACCAGGGGCCCTGAAAATGATCCACAGCAGCTGTCTCCCATTTTAACAGGAGTTGCCTGGACTTGGAGGCCCCTGAGCACCCCCCCCCATTATAAGAAAATGGCAGGTGCCCCATCCCTTTCCCCAACTTGCATCACTCCCCATGTCTAGAAAAGAAAACTAGAAGGGTTCAGCTATGTGTCCATTAAAACTTACTGTGTTAGAACCTGAGAGCCAATGTGGTGGAATTGGGGCCAGGGAGCTGGGGGGGGATGATTCTGTCCAGTTAGCTCCTTCACAAGGATGGAATCTGTGCCCTCATTAGTTGGCTTGAGCTCAAGGGAACTAGGAGGTCCCATTGTGTCCTTCAGTCTTCTGGCATCTAAGAGCAATGTTTACTCCTCTTGTCAATGAGGCAGCAAGACAATAAGGGACACATGTCCCTCAGTAGACACCAGAAACTGGTGCTTGAACTTGGATTATCCAGTCTCCAGGACAATATGGAATCAATTTCTATTTTTAATAAGCTGTCCAGAGTGAGGTATTTTGGTATAGCAATGCACAGAGATGAAACTGGGAGTGAAAAGAGGAGACTGGTGAAAGAAGCATTGTATGTGGTACTTCTGCTTCCTCTGAGCATGGGGCACACCACGTGCGGGTGGAGGGGGTGGGTGCTCCAAGAAAATACAGATCGTGTTTTAGTCTCTAGAAGATTACTTGCCCATCTACTTTTCACTTAATTGAGGAGGGAGGAGGCAATTTGGGAGATGGTGAGGCTAGAAGAGGGTGTGGCCAAGACAAGGATACAAATGCCTCTTGTGGGCTTAGGGACCACAGTGGAAGGTAATGGAGTTTGGACCACTTAGGAGAGTTTCTAGCAGAGAGAATAACTCTAGTTGTGATTTGTAGAGATGGAGGCTGGGTAGACTAAGTAGGATGAATCAGAGCTGAATCTGAGGCAGGAAAGGAGGCATGGAGGGATGGAGGAAGGGAGGGAAGCTAAGGCCTGGGGTCTGCAAAGAGAACTCCCACATGGCCTCCTTGGCCTTGAAGAGACATGAACAGGAGGGGTGCTATACAAAAAGGAGATAACTTGAGAAGTGAAGTTGTTTATGAGTAGAGACCCCCAGTGGTGCGTTAAAGATGAGACACCATACCTTGACTTCTCCCTGCTTCCTGACAACATGCTAGAGAAACCATGCTTTGATGACAAAGAGGCAAAGTGGCTCAGGTCCTCTATGTCACTTCATCTCTCACTCCCCAGGGTCTAGGGCAAAAGTATGCTAAAGGCAGGAGATGAGGACTGTCAGCAAGTTTGACATTAAAGTTTCAACTGAACTGTTTTAAATAATAGGAAATGAAGATGAGGGTTTTGCAGTCTACTGAGGGTGTTATGAAGAGGTTCTACTGGGTAGAGCTTGGATCAAGATGGTAATTAAAGAAAAAGAAAAATGGCTTCATGTTCATATGGCATTAAACCGATAGAGAGAGAGCAAATATTTGTTACAAGTCCTTTAAAGGTACTTTATTCAAAATGATGCCCACATCCTTAAGAGAAAAAAAAAACAGTATAAATTGTAACTTCTTTTGTGCAGGAGGATTTATTGAAGTTTCTGGATTAAAAGACAAACCCTTCCCAACAGTAGTGTCTCCATCAAAGCCAATTATGAATGTTTGTTGGTTTTGACTTCTAGAAGTTTCATTTTTTTTTTTGTCAAGAGTTGGGGTAGTAAGTTAGGATTATTGGCCTAAACTTTCTTTGCTTAGTTTCTAAAAATAGGCTCAGCCAAGCACTGCAGGCTCACACTTGTTATCCCAGCACTCGGGAGGCTAAGACAGGAAGATCACCACAAGTTCAAAGCCAGCCTGGGATACACAGTGTAATAACCTGTCACTAACTAACCATTAGCTAGTGAACTAATCACTAGCTGGCTAGCTAACCACCTAATAGATTCAAAGTTCACCATGTATTCTAAAATTCATATTCAATTAAAATGTATCCAAATAGATTCAGGAATTAGGATATTGTTGGAGTCCAATTCCCAGGGTCCTCCAGAATTTACATGTTTTGACTTGTTCATCTCCCAAGGGCTTTACTCTTTAAGGGCTTAATAGGGCCATAGTACCTCAAGCAGGAAGAAATACATGTTCCTGGTGTGGATATGTTACGATAAATCTTTTCGGCAAATGCCACCCGAGCCCTACCGCCACGTGGGTGCTTTCCGCCAGTTGCCCAAGTTCTGCCTGCCAAGTTAGTGCCCCAAATAATACCCAGAGACTTATGTTAGGTACAAATGCTGCTTGGCCAATGACTAGGATTTCCTATCTGTTAGCTCAGTCTTAATTATCATAAATCTATATATTTTATAAGACTTATTTAGAATGCCTTCCATTGGCTTCCTCATCCAGGGATCACATGGTGACTCTGGAGGAAGAGAGAAGGGGGCCCACTTCCTTCTTGCCCTTGTTTATGAGTCTCCCTGCTATGTCACTTCCTGCGTGGATCGCCAATTCTTTGCTACATTTCCCAGAATCCTCCTTGACTCCTAGTCCCTCCTAACTTGCTATCTCATTGGCCAAACAGTACTTTATTTATCATCCAGTAAGACAAACATATATACAGAAGCACTTCCCCCCATCATAAATACCAACTGTTCTCCTGCCCAGATGGTTACTCTTCTTGTTGGTTATTGGCCACCAACAGTGGCCTTAACCCTGCCCAACTATAAGCCCCTTTTCTGTTGCCCCTAACATGACATTGGTTTAGTCTAACTCACTAAATTCTCATGTTCAACCATGATGGTTGCTTTGTCCATTGTTCCTCTGCTTTCTCTCCTCTTTGAATATTTTCAGATGGAGTCACATTTGTTTTTAAACCATTTTCTTTCAGAGAATACATCATCATGGGTGAATGGAGTTAGGGTTTTTGTGTTTGTTTGTTTTTGCATTGGTTGGAACACATAGCTCAAAGTGTTAACCAGAGTGTCTTCTAGGGTTAAGGCATCTTTCTCCCTGTATATTCTTACAGTACCAGTTCATACTAAAGCATCATAGACCCAGGAACTTCTGACCTCACTTGGATAGTAGAGGCTGTGCTGCAGCCAATGTGTAGTGTAGTTAGAGTTTTCTAGAGGACTAGGTAATCCTGGAGTCATGAGAAAGGGAAGATGGGTGGAACAACAAAGCAGCTGGAATGTTGGGGACTGGGGGGAGATGAGTCCCAGACATGGTGAGGATTACAGAGGAGCTAGAGGTTGGTCCTCAAAACCTAGCACTCACTCCATTGTCCATGTGTAGCCTGTTGTTCATGGGGAGTCTCTCAGGATTTTGGTATGGTGAAGAAGGGGTATCAAAGGAAATCCAACTCCGTGTTCAGCGCTGCTTAAGATCATAAGATTTTCCTCTGAACCAGGAAAGCCATGGGCAGGCTTCCCATTATCTCACACTTCAGTG